AGCATTTTAATTATCTAAATAACTCAGCTCCATTTCGAGATATGTCTAAGATATCGAGCTGGACATAGAATGATGTGCCCAAAAGAAAAATAAAAAAATGACCCAAAGGTACGAATGATTACTGACAAGAAAGAACATAAACAAAATATTTAGTTGAATACGACAGAAAGAGCCAAGACTACCACACCTTCAAGAAATTTACCTTAAAATTATCCAAAATTCATTGAACCCCAGGATTAAAATGACTATAATCACCAAAGATGGAGGCAATTGGTTGTTATTCTTCTTGTAAGTTTCCTGAAATAAGAACACATATTTAGATATAAAATATGTTGCATTGCGGTAAAACAAACAATAGCGCACCATCATCAAATAAATAAGTTTAGGAGAAAATGTCAAATTAAACAAAAGGCAAAGAGAAGATATTATAATATACATCACATGAAAAATAATTCTCATTCAACATGTAGATCACATGAAAAAGAATTCTCATTCAACATCCGATGGCTATATTCATAATTTTTCAAAAATGCTAAGAAAAGTTGCGGTTCAAAAAAATACTTGAGCAACAATAGCTCATTCTATAGTATACTCTGTTTGTTTTATGAACTACCTCAATAATAATTTACATTGGATCGACGAAATTACAGTTCTCATTGGTAGAACCTAAAAAGAAAATATAGGCAAATTATTATGAAAGTAAATACGAACACAAATAAATTATATACAAAAAGGCTATAAATTATTACATCATTCCACGTATTGGAAGTCAATGTGTCCAATGAAAAAATCTTATTTGAAATTGAAACAAAAACTTCATCCAAAGTAAGCTGGAGAATCTTCTTTATACTATCATTTTTCATATCTAAACGAATTGCAGCATTAACAGCTAGTAATTTTAAGGACTGCAAAAATAAAATAATAATTTCAAATACAAATAAGACAGTACACATCAATTTGCAAGATAAAAAATAAAATAAAATATAAATGCAAATTCATGACATACTGCTGAATGAGCCATTTTGGTAATTGCTTTTATGTATTCTTTTCTTGTCCACAGTCTTTTCATTGAAGCAGAATCATAACTAAAGACTTTGTTAAACTTGTCATAATGTATTTTTTTACCTGTTTTCTTAATCACGATAGTTTCACAACTAAGATAAATAATAATAAATTTAAAGTTAACACAATTACAAATAACATAATATGATCATTTTATCAAGCTTATATATTTTAAAGATATGGAAGAACATGATACAAATCTTTAATACAAAGTAGAAATTTTATAAATTAATGGGAGCCCCCTTACTTTACATAAGACTAAGGTTTGTCATCAGGCAAAATTTGTTAGAGTTGTAATATGAAGATAAGTACATATTTAAGTTTAGAAAATTCATTAGCTCTTAAAGTATATAGAACCTAAAAATGTGCATTTTTTCATCTTCATATAGCAATATATCAACTTAAAATCAATGATCTCATTAAAAAATGAAGAAGCTAAAATATGTTGCATAAAATTAAACAAATTTAATAAATGAAATCTATCACACATAAGATCTCAAGAAAATAATCATTAGTTGTCCTTCATATTTATCAAGACCCTCGCAGCTTCTTCTCTTACCGGAGATTCAACGACGCGTATGACATATAATTCTAATTTTGCAACCAACTTGTCGACACTTCTCTGATCAATATTTAATGAATAAATGGTTGAAGTAAAATAAACTAAAGTGGTCATTTGCCATGCTGAATTAGACTTCTTATTGTTGGCCATGTTTTATCACTAGCATCAACTAAAAGAGATTTCGAAGGCTCATAAAGTGTCTTGTAAAGTTTTTAGTTGATACTAGTGATAAAACATGGTCAACAATCAGAAGTTTAGTTCAGTATGAGTAAATGACAACTTTAGTTTATTTTGCTTTAACCCTTTCTTCATTAAATATTGATCAGAGAAATGTCGACAAGTTGGTTGCAAAATTAGAATTATATGTCATACGCGTCGTTGAATCTCTAGTAAGAGAAGAAGCTGCGAGGGTCTTGATAAATATGAAGGACAGCTAATGATTATTTTCTTGAAGTCTTATGTGTGATAAATCTAATTTATTAAATTTGTTTAATTTTATGCAACATATTTTAGTTTCTCCATTTTTTAATGAGATCATTAGTTTTAAGTTGATATATTGCTATATGAAAATGAGAAAATGCACATTTTTAAGTTCTATGTATTTTAAGAGCTAATGTTCTGAAGTTGAATATGCACTTATCTCTATATTATCACTCTAGCAAGTTTTGCGTGATGATAAGCCTTAGTCTTATGCAAGATAAGGGGGCTCCCATTAATTCATAAAATTTTCACTTGATATTAAATATTTGTATAATTTTCTTTCATGTTTTTATAATAAATAAGCTTGATAAAATGATATTTGTGATTGTGTTAACTTTAAATTTGTTACTTATTATTTATTTATCTTATTTGTGAACCTATCGTGATTAAGAAAAAATGTAAAAAATACAATATGATAGGTTTAATAAAGTCTTTAGCTATGGTTCAGCTACAATGAAAAGGCTGTGGACAAAAAAAAGAAGACATAAAAGCAATTACCAAAATGGCTCATTTAGCAGTATGTCATGAATTTGCATTTCTATTTTATTCTTTTTTTTATCTTACAAGTTGATGTGTACGATCTTATTTGAAATTGTTGTTTTATTTTTGCAGTCCTTAAAGTTACTAGCAGTTATTGTTGTTATTCGTTTAGATGTGAAAAATGATAGTATAGAGGGAGATTTTCCAGCTTGTTTTAGATGAAGTTCCTAGTTCAACTTCAAATAAAATTTTGTCATTGGACCCATTGGCTTCGAATATGTGGAATGATGTTAAACTTTATAGTCTTTTTTGTATATAATTTATTTGTATTCATATTCACTTTCACAATAATTTGCCTATATTTTCTTTTTAGGTTACACCAACAAGAACTGTAATTTTGCCAATCCAATGTAAATTATTATTGAGGCAGTTTATGAAACAAACAGAGTATATTATAGAACGAGCTATTGCTGCTCAGGTATTTTTTTGAACCTCAACTTTTCTTAGCATTTCTGAAAATTATGAATATAGCCATCAGATGCTGAATGAGAAATACTATTGTTTGTTTTACCGCAATGCAACATATTTTATATCTAAATATATGTTCTTATTTCAGGAAACTTACAAGAAGAAGAACAACCAATTGCCTCCTCTTTTGGTCATTATAACCATTTTAATCCCGGGGTTCAATGAATTTTGGACAATTTTAAGATAAATTTCTTGAATGTGTGATAGTCTTGGCTCTTTCTGTCGTGTTCAACTAAATATTTTGTTCATGTTCTTTCTTGTCAGTAATCCTTCGTATCTTTGGGTTATTTTTGTTGCTTTTTTTTGGCACAACATTCTATGTCCAGCTTGATATCTTAGGCATATCTTGAAATGGAGCTATGAGTTATTCAGATAATTAAAATGTTAATAATTTGTTTTTGATATGGGTGATTCTTACTATTTTTTTACTATGATAAAAATTATTTTCTTACTAATAATTTTTATCACATGTTAACTATACAGCTTTTTGGAATCCTTTCATTATCCATGAAGTTTCTTTCAATATTAATGAATCTCCTAAAGAAATGAAGACCTGTAGCTTCAGATACCAGAAGGAATCTCCAGTTATCTGATACTTCTTTATCATCATTAGCTGGAGCATCACATGAAATTTTAGACAGTGCCTGACTTTCAAATAGTTTTAAAATTGGTCCTTAGTATCCGTAATTTTTTTTCAAAAACTTTTAACGACAGTTACTCTATACAACTGTTGCAAAAAACTTTTAAAGATTTTATTTTTTATTATATAAAATTTATTGTTTTGTGGTTTTTGCTAGCCATTGAGTTGTGATGAGTTTATTGCAAAATTCATTTTTCTTACGCATTTTCATACTAAAAAATAAATTCATATGTCTGGGCATTATTCACTAATGATAGATGTACCTATTTTCCTCTTTTCAATTGATGCTAGGTAACTACATCATGGATGTCTTGGGTTTTCTTTCTCATGCGATCGATGCAGTGCCACCCATCAAATATTTGTTATCATTTATGATGAGGGCCTCCTAATTGAATATAATGGTTGTGATTAGGATATTTAGTTTGCAACAGAATTAAACCTTCAATTATTCCTCTCCATCCAGATGAAATAAATAATAGCATTTAAAGTAAGGAGGTTGCCATTCTTAATGCTTTTAGACTTATCCATATTATCAATATGGAGTAAGGCCTTTTTTTAGACTTAAAATTGGTGCATTTAAAGACAGATTTATTTACCTAACAAATTATTCTTCAATACGGCCTTCTTCAATGTTTGACATTAGACCTGTCAATATTGGACCCGACCCGAAAATCCGACCCAAACCGACCCAAAAATTTCGGGTTTGGGTTGACCCGAACCGGACCCGGTTCGGGTCCGGAAAACTGACCCGTTTAAAAAATTGGGTCGGGTTCGGGTTGACTCGGGAACCTGTAAATAACCCGAAATGACCTGGAATAAAGCTCTGCCCGCCTGACCCACTTCCCCGGCTGACCCACGGGTTCGGGTCCAGAAAATCAACCCGTTTTAAAAAACGGGTCGGGTCGACCCGAACCTGAATAGTGCCGGGTCAGTTTCGGGTTCGACCCGAACCCGACCCGTGATCCGAAATTGACAGGTCTATTTGACATTCTTTTGTGCCATTATTTTATTTTCAGTTACCTGTTTTCTAAACTTTTAATTAGTATGATAATAACAATTAGTTACACAAAACAAAACAGGGATGATAATAATAATGTGTTTGCCAAATTATTTGAGTTTGGTTGACATCAACTATCTCTATAACATCGAATGGTTTGAGTGATATGTTCTTCGATGGCCATTTATGCTGCTGCACATTTTTGCTATGTATTGTTCTTAGAAAAAATTAATTCATTTGTTGTGTAACAGAAGGCTGAAACCATTCACAAGCTTCACATGGTGTCGTGGGAAACTGTTTGTAAGCCGAAACTGGAAGAAGGTTTGGGAATTCCGTTGTGATTTACAGAATGTACAACTGTCCTTCTCCTTTATCTTCTTGGTTATCTGCTCATTATATTTCACCTTGGAAACCTACTAATCCCAAAGCTATCAAATTTTGGCTCTCTGTTTGTAGTACAGCAGCAATTGTGAAATCCAATTTTAAGTTTTTTATTCTCCTAATGCTCCTATCTCCTTGCTTTGGGACCATTGGTGTAATAATACTACTCTATCTGAGCATGTGGCAGGTGTTTCCCTGGATAGTCTCTCTCTCCCTCTGCTTAAAAATTATATTTCTTCTGGAAATTGGGTTTTTTCTGATGATATCCCTCTTGTTTTGAGGGCTGCTGTTAGCAGTTCTCCGATTTTGGACACTACTGGTCCTTGTCTTTTTTGGAATGATTGTGACAAGGTTAAATTTAGAGACTTTATTGAGGAATTTTATAACATTTTGCCGGCTTGTCCTTGGTACAACCTTGTTTGGCACAAAAAGCATATTTTGAAGCATTCTGTTTATGTTTGGCTTGCTCTAGTTGGTGGGTTAAAAACTCAAGATGCCTTGAGATCAAGAAATATTTATGTGCCGATGGTTTGCTCTTTATGTCATTCAGCAACTGAAACTGTTAATCACCTTTTCTTTGAGTGCTCTTACTCATTCTTTGTGATTAACTCTCTTATCCCTGGCACTAGAAATTTTCTCTTAAGGCCTATTGTTATCCAACTTCTACAATGGCTGGAGACCGAATTTTCTGATTCTCAAATGATTATGAATTTCTATATGTTGATGGTTTGTTGTATTATTTACCAATTGTGAAGGGAAAGGACTTGTAGAAGATTTGGGAATGAAATTCATAGCTCTTCTTCTTTGTTGTTTACCGTCAAAAGTATTATCACTGGGAAGATAGCTAAGTGGAGAAAGTCTGAGGTACTTCTGAATAAAATCTGATGGAGGGATGGAGGATTGATGTTGAGATATTGATGTTTGGATGGATGCTTTTCTCAGATACTGTTGTTTACTGGCGGGATTGGTTTATTTAACCAGGACAATGATGAAGCTCCTTACTGACGTTCTACAACTGTATTCCCCTTGGATGGCCTTCGGGCAACCAGGGGTTTTTGCCTATTTCCTTATATCTGAGTCCTGGTTAACCTTAATGGAGCTCATTTTGAGAACTTTGGTTCTGTTGTTCTGTAGTCTTTTGGTTTTGCTTTCTCTGTTACCAGGTTTCCTGCTACCATTTTACTCTTCGCGCGGCTGGGAGGTTCTTGATCCAGTTCTTCAGCTGAGAAGGGGATGCGCTATCAACGTCTGGGAGCTCTTGGCATATTTTGGGATCTTGCTCATTTCTGAATTGCTGCAGGGTTTGCTGGCTGCAGTTTCTTCAAGTCTCATTTGTGTGTAATTTTTTGATTGTATGGGTGGTATAGTTGGGTTTTTTTACATAGAATCTTCATAAGTTTTTGTTTTTGCTTATGATGGGTTATTTTACTTGTATTCACCTTTACTTGTAACCTCTTTTTCATAGTAATATATGGACCACGGCCCCAAAATTTCCCAAAAAATAAACAGAAGGCTGAAACTTTGGATTCTGGGAAGGCAATCTTCATAAGTATATTTCATATGTAAATTGATAACATAACTTATTAAACTTTTATCACTTCATAAGCATAGCTGATGACTTTCCCAAGAAGCTGTTGCCTTTGGACAATGGCAGCAACTGCTCTCTTCCAGAAGATACTTGATAGGATTCAGCCTGAAAAGAATCCGCCAGATCAAACCCTGTTCTGCTCCTCTTCCTTATGCTGCACTGGTGAACTCCTTCAATCCATCTTCAGGAGTGCTATTGGCCATGCGTGGTTCGAGTGGTTCTACCTATTTTGGCTATAATATAATGGAAAGAGGCAAGTTGATGAGATTCGGGATGAGGAGAGACCAGTTTGAACATACTCGTATTAGCAATTTTACTTCTATTATTTCCTTCAATTCAACCTTCTTTATGCAGACGATGTTCTGGTCTTTGGTAAAGCCTTGCCGATAAATGCAACTTCCCTTGCAAATGCTATTTCTATATTTTCTAATGCCTATGGCCTTTTCATCAATCACTCTAAGAGCTCTATCATATTTTCTCATGAGGCTTCTGACATTGATTATATTTGTCAGCTCCTTGGCATCTCCAATCTGAGCTCCTTCATCACCTACCTTGGGATTCCTATTGCTTCCTGTCGCCTCAATTCTACTCACTTCCAACCACTCGTGAGTAAAATTTTTACTTTACTGGATGGTTGGAAAGTTAAATTTTTGTCTTTTGCAGATAGAGTTCAATTCATCAAGTTCACGATTGCTAATACTCTAGCATATTGGATCAGGGGTTCTATTATACCCAAATCTTGCTGCAAATTTATATCTAAGCTTTGCTCGAGGTTCTTATTTCATGGCAGGATTAATGAGAAAAAGCTTCATTTAATTGCCTGGGGTAAAACGGCTTTGCCTACTAGGTTAGGAGGTCTTGGTATTCCCTCCTTTGATGCACTGTGCCATGCCAACTATTGTTCTTTCATGTGGAGATTTTTTACTAGGGACAATTTAACTATGGCTTGGTTTAGAAACAAATATACTTCTTGGAAGCCGCCCAATTCCACTGCTTCAAAATTCTGGAAGAAATTATATGCCACCGCCCTATTGGTTAAAGGGAAATTCACCTTTTCTGTCTCTCATAATTGTAATCTCTTTATGGAGTGGGATCATTGGTGCAATGGGAGATCTCTTCACGATATTCTGCCTACCTTTAGGTTCATGAATTCTTTTGTGAACTCTTATTATGCTAACAATTGCTGGTATCTTCCCCCCTCTACTCCTTTTCTTTTGAGGAATGAAATTACGGGTATCAACATTGAGAATCAAACGGCTGTGCTCTGGGAGGACTCAGTTAAACCTTCTTTCTCTATCTTTTATGCAAGTTATTTTTATAATCTTGAGGAGGGTAGTTGGCACAAATTTATATGGCATAAAAGAAAATCCGTTCGGTTTTTCTCTTATTCTTGGATGGCGTTGCTGGGCAAATTAAAAACAGCTGACCTGCTTATTCTGAGAGGGATTGATGTTATTCCCTCTTGTGCTTTTTGTTTGAATGGCTGTGATAATCACTCTCATTTATTTTTTGCTTGTGATTACTCCTATTCGGTGATTGTTTCCCTGCTGCCACCTTTGGATGTCTTTCTTCTTAGGCCTAACTTGCTTCATGTTTTTGAGTATATTGATGATTCCCAGGATTTGTGTAGTTGGGAGAAGGTTTTTTGCTATTTTACTATCTGCAACTCTATTTACTACCTATAAAAGGAAAGAAATTCTAGGAAATTTGAAAATGTTTGGATCAGTCCCACTCAGCTTTGTAGAATTATTCGCAGAGTTATTCTTGCAAAAGTGAAAAAATGGAAACATTTTGATGATCTCGACAGACGTTTTGGCATTTCTGGATAATTAATGGCTGCCGTTTCTTTACCGTATGTGGGTTTGGTGAGAATTGTTAACCATTTTGTTTTTGGGGTATTGTCTTGTTCCTGCAACTTACTGGATGTGGAGATATTTTTGGAAGGATGGAATGTTCTGCTGGGAAGAATATACGGTGTTGGCAATTTACGAGTCCCTTCGCCCCTTCGTTCTACCTGCTATGCCTGAACTAGACGATGATGTTGCTCCCATTAGTAGAGCCCTTGGACGGTCTTCAGGCAACCAGGGTTCCAACTTTTTTGCGTGCTTAATTTATTTCCTGAGTCCAGTTCGCTTTGGCTTGGGAGCTGGGTTTTTTCTTTGCTGCAGCCTCTGGGGCTTAACTGAATTTTTGGTGCTGTTGGTCGACTGCTGCACGTCCTCAAGTTCCAGTTTTGGTGCTCCAAACCACAATTTTTGGTCTTCCTTACTGAAAAATTACATGTAATGGGTGGTTTTGTTGGGGTTCCTCTTCCTCTTGACCCTCATAAGATTTTGTTTTTCTTGGCTTATGTTGGGTTGCTTTTACTTGTAATTTTTTACTTTTCTTCTCTTAATATATGGGCTTAGGCCTTCTCCAGCCAATCGCGTTTGTCCCAATCGGACGGCAATTTCGCCGGCATTTACATGCCAATGAACAGTGCGACGCCAAATTTGGCGTCGCACTGTTCATCCGCCATTTTTTTTTTTATAATTTATTTTTAATTGTAAATGTCTAAATATAAATTTATATTATAAATAATTAAAAAATAAAATATTGCCAGCAGGATTATCTGAGATACTTGAATATTAATTCAGAATGGAACAGTGAATTATACTCTATAATCCAACCAACAATGCAGCTTTCATATATATATATATATCTTACAACAGTAAAGAGTAAGATCTCTTGTCGAGACTTTTTTTGCACAGAAAGATAACTCCAAGTTTACTGTACTATTTTTTAAATTAAAAAAAAAAACTAAAACAAAAGGCTCAAACAGTACAACTTTACAAACAAATATTTTTAAAATCATAATGTGTTGTTCATGATCTGAATTATATATTATTTTGTTAAAAAAATTCAATGTTGCCCAATCAATAATCTTCCTTCCCAATTGCATGTATTTCCAAAGCCACTGCGCTTATATGCGCCTAAAAATAAAAAAAGAATAAACTTTTCATGAAAACAACGAATACAATTGGAAATGCCACCAACTAAGAGAAGAGAGAAAAAAAACAAAACAAAATAAACGAATAATACTATAGTTGATCTAACAGGAAAAAAGGTTTAAGGAAAAAAAAATAAACTTTCATAAATGTCAAATGAGAATATACTCAAAAGTTACTCATATATAGTTGCACAATCTGAAGAGGTTTCATTGGATGCTCTAGCTGATGATAGCGAGTACTCTATCTCTGTATAAAGTGACTATTTGACAAAGGATTCCTTCAAGTATCTGGAGCTGTAGGTCATTGTCCCTTATCTGTTCATTCCTTTAGAACATTCATTAATGTTGAAAGAAACTTAAGGGATAATGAGAGGATCCCAAAAATCTGTATAGTTAATATATAATAAAAAGCATTATTATACAATTAGTAAGATGCACACAGATAAAAAAAAAATCATTAGTATTTCAATTATCTAAATAACTCACAACTCCATTTTGAAATTCGTCTGAGATGTCAAGCTGGACCCAAAGCGCCTTGCCCAGAAGAAAAGCAAAAAAAATAGCCCAAAGGTACGAAGGATTTCTAATAAGAGTGAACATGAACAAAATATTTTGTTAAAAGTGATAAAAAGATATAAGTCTACTAGTCATAATTTATAGCACGCCTTCAAGAAATTTACCTTAAAATTGTTATCAATTCATTGAATCCCAAGATTAACATGGCCACAATAGCCCAAGGAGGCAATTGGTTGTTCTTTCTCTTGTAAGTTTCCTGAAATAAGAATGCATATTTAATCATAAAATATATTGTATTACGGCAAAACAAATGATTGCGCACCATTACCAAACAAATAGGCTTAGGAGAAAAGGCCAAATTGAATAAAAGGCAGAGAGAATATACTATAAGATACATTACATAGAAAAATAATTCTCATTCAGCATGTAGATCAAACAATAGGACAACAATAGTACTCTGATGGCTATATTTATAATTTTCAAAAAGATATCAAAATAAAGAAAAGGCCAAAAAAAGTTGAGGATCAAAAACATGCCTGAGTAGCAATAGCTCGTTTCACAGTATGCTTTGTTTCTTTCTTGAACTGTCTCCATAATGACATGCACTGAACTGGTGTAATTAAGGTTCTCGTTGATGAAACCTAAAAAGAAAATATATGTAAATCATTGTGACAGTGAATACAAACACAACTAAATTTTATACAAAAAAGTTATGAAATCTTACATCTTTCCACGTATTGGAAGTCAATGCAGTCAATCCATCATTTGACCAAATCCTATTTAAAGTTGAACAACTAAGAATGTCCATCAAAGCAAGCTGAAGGGTCTCCTCAGCATTATCATTCTCCTCATCCAAGTGAATTGCAACAAGAATAGACAGTAACTTTAAGGACTGTAAAAATAAAATAACAATTTAAAATACAAATAAGAATTAAACGTAGACATCAGCTTACAAGATTTTTTTTTTTTTAAAAGAATAGAAGTATGAATGCAAATTCAAGACATACTGCTAAACGAGCCATTTTGGTGATTGCTTTTATGTCCTCTTCTCCTGTCCATAGTCTTGGCATTAAATCATAATCATAACTAAACACTGTTTTGAACCTGTAAACATGTTGTATAAAATTAAACAAATTTAATAATGAGATCTTTTACAAGAAAGACTTCAAGAAAACAATCATTACCTGTCATTCATATTCATCAAGACTCTCCCAACTTCTTCTCTTGCCTTAGATTCAATAATGCTTATGGCATATTTTTCTAGTTTTGCAACCAAAGTTTCAACAATTGTCTGATCAATATCAAATGAAGAAAGGGTTGAAGCAAAACCAACTAAAGTTGTCATTCTCTCTAGCTGAAGAAGTTTTCTAATTGCTGACCACGTTTCATCACTAGCATTATTTAAAAGAGATTTCACAGGCTTTGAAAGTGTCTTGTTAAGTTTTTCCTGTATGAGAAATATAAGAAAGCAATAAACACATTTTTTCTATGCTGAAGCTCATCAAGATGATCATAATCCTATTGATAAAATTATAATGGATAAGAAATTATCCTCCTTCTAAAACTAAAAGATATAGTAAAACCACACCATACCTCATACAAGGACGTGATCTCAGATAATTTTGCCTCACGAACTGAAGTAACATATGCATTTATATTACGGCAAAGCATCTCTCGTGCTTTTGAAGTGTCCACAACTACTTGTTCAATGTATGTATCTATATTTTAACATCAGCATTCTCCAATTATCAATCAAAAGTAAGCTAAATAAGGATTGCTAAAGAAATAACAACTACTTGTTAAAGAAATCATAGAAAAAGGCCTCAAACTATTGCCTCAAAGTCATATTAATACATATTTTGTCAATAACTACTTTAGTATGATGTTTGACAAATTTCTAGCTAACTACCTTTGCCACTTTCATTGAATGAGGACATTTTAGCATCAGCTGCAAATCCTTCCCCAGATTCCAAAGCCTTCTCAAATCTAACTTTGAAATCTTTTGAAGTCTTGGATCTTAGGTGCCCCAACATGGAATGGCAAGAAGTTCGAAAAAACTGCAATTACAAAATTTAAAAGGTATTATATAACAATTAAGAATGCCAACTTGGGTCATATTACAATACACAGAACATGCACATCATTTTCTAAAACCAAGATTACTTTGCAACAACATGACTAAATATACATTTGCATTTAGGACTTGTAAATTGGACTCAATTCCCAATACTTAAGGGTGCAAATGAAAAAGGAAAGAACAACTCAAAACTAAATAAAGCAAAAAATAAAACAAAACAAAAAAGTAACCCCTGAATTGGCTACTCATACACAACACTCATAATCTAGATACCATTTTTATTAAAAAAAGGTCGCTCTATTTTTACACCTTTAATATTTATGACTAATTATAAAACCTTAAGCTGGAGGAGAAAGAAAAAAGCAAAGGAAGACAAAAAATAAATGAGCATGTTTTTGTTGGGGTGTTCATTGCCTGAGAAAAATATATAATAATAATAATTAAGAATGTCAATTTGATTCATATCGCAACACCCATAAACTCCATATCATTTTTATTAAACAAAATTGTTCTATATTTACACAAGCAAATAAAATTAGAATCGAAGTTCAATTCATAGATATGAAGTAGAGAAGCGAATAAAAAATACAGACAAAATAAACATGAAATTGTATGCTTAGGCATGTAAGCATAAGAGGAAACAATCATGAAAATAAAAAATTAGTAAAAGAATTAAAAAAAAAAAATAAAATTTTAGAGGTAAGAATAACCAAATAGCGCAAGAAATTATATTTTACAAAATTATTTATAGAAGATGGATGCAAGAGATAACTTCCAATTATTTGATTAAGATAAGAAAATCAAGCCATCATATGTTAATTAATTTCACCTTTAAAAAAGTTGTGCGCTTTACTCCATGCATGAAAAAAATTAAAACAAGAAGTCATACCTAGGATTAATTTTGACATTATAACACACACATATGCACATTTGAAGTTTTTGAATATACAAACTAAGGAGCTATTTGGTATCAGATTTATCATGGGATTCAAGTCGGATTTACGCTAAATCTGGCCAAACGATTTTTGTGCGCGCGTTAAATCCCGGGATTCCGTAAATCCCATATTTACGGATTTATAGCTTAAATCCCAGATTTACTAAATCCCTCGGTTCGACAAATTTAACAGGATTTAATATTAGAAGTGCGTGAAAGGGAGAAAGTTAACTTCACAGCCAGCGAGCTCCTATTCTTGCTTATGATCAAAATGTTGTAACTTTCGATCCGACAGGAAGGGAAAGTCGTCGAAGGAGCGAAGTCGAACATCCATGAACGAGCCAAAGAAGCGATGTGTGCAATCTATACACCTCCTGCGAAGCAACGAAGCCGAACAACAACAACGAAAAGAGAAGATGAAAGGCAAACCCTAAACATCTCTAAGTTATGATTGATTAACTTAATTAATATAATTTAAAATATTAATAATTAAGTAAATTACTTAAAAAATTAATAGTATAAGTAGACAACATCCATGTAAATTTTGGGGTTGCAAAAGTATGCAATTCTTGAGTAAAAGAAAAATATCACATATAAAAAAGTTTCCCTTACTTCATTTGGGCACAGTTGCTCTAATCAATTTTTTACATCAAAGTCAATTGAAAATTCATTTAGGGGCTGTTTGGTTGCCTGAAAAGAAAATGCAGTGTAAAGTAAATACAATGTAAAGTAAATGTAGTGCATTCTGAATACGTTGAGACTGTTTGGTTGTCTGCAAAATAAACGCAGGAGAATTGTTTTCCTTATTTGGTTAGATAGATTCGGAGTAAAGTAAAAGCGATTTTTTTGTCATAACTAATTTTGGCATTACAACTAGTGTATTTATAAAAACATTGTGTTTATAATAATTAGTATTATTTGGTGTTATAAAATAAAATCAGTATATTTATTTATTGCACTATCTTATTATAAATTTTTTTAGAATTTAATAAAAATAAAGAATTGCATTATAGTTGTTTTAAATTTTAATATTTATAAATAATTAAAAAATTGAAAGTAAGTAAATATCAATTTTATTCATTGTAAGAGATTAAATGATTTGTATGTAATTGCAAAAAAATCAAATTACTTTTATTCCTCCACAACCTCATCCACATGCTTATCCTGCACCAAGCCAATTAATTAAATTGTTGGCTTGGTGCAAGAGAAGAGGTGACGCTCTCCATATAAACCTCTGAGAAACGGCAGCCTCTCTTTACCTGGAAAATGGCTGCCTCCACCTCCGATCCATAAGAGAAATAGAGGCGGTGAAGAACCTAGACTCTCTTTGCCATTTCAGCGAACACTGCGAAGAACTCCTCCGAGCCCAGAAATCCTTGGTCGGAGCTTATGGTCGGTCCCCGAAGAAGGAAGCCTCCATCTTTGGGTGCATCAAGCTAAGATATTTCATTTTAATGAACTTCCCTAGCTCCGCTCCTTTTGCCTCCAACAGCTTTCCCAAACTCAACTCGAGGAACTCCTGGAAGAATCTCCGGCGATCCAGCAACGACCGCCCATCGAACGAGATGCCGAAATCGTGATGCTGGAAGTCGGATAAAATACACCAGCAGACGAAAGATTCGAAAGCGTGAGTCCAGTGCTCCACCTTACCTCTCACAACTGGTTGAATAACTTGGAGGTGGCATCCTTCCTACTCGATTGTGGATTTTGGAGGAGTTGGAGATGGGCGGACGCTAATTACGAAGGGGTTTGAGGAAGCGATCTATCGGATCGAGCACTTAAATCGTCCCTGTGGTACGCTTCTCTACTTTCCTGTCGGAGTCTGGCTCACTTAAGTGTTTAATCTCACAAGCTACATGCTGCTTTTTCTCGCGCGAGAGATTTTGTAATCCACTCAATTTGAGTGGGTTTCAAAGTCGCACGAAGGGCCCTTCGCAATACACCGCTGATGCTTCCAAGGACTTCCTTACTTTCCGCTCCAAACCAGCCAAACGACCTAATTTATCAAATGCGTGCATTCCAAATACTTTATCCTCCTAATTCTGCATACCAAACAACCCCTTAGTTACCAAAGATAGCTACTTAAAGAATATGAACCAAAGAGGAATTTCTACTTAAAGATTTGTAGAGATCCATTTGTGATTAAAAAAAGAAGAAGTATATGAACCAAAGATAGCTACTTAAAGAGCATTTAATTTGCAAGTTAGAGATCATTTGTATGAAGAAATTGCTCATATATTTTATTCAGCAGCCATGTTGTTTCATTTAACAAGGAATCTATATTATTTTAGTACTTGTTCAAACACATCTAAGATCACTCCTCAAGGTTATATTCATCATGTTTATAATCTTTTGATGGCAACTACTTCAAACCCAAAGAGCCAACATTTAAAGACTGAAGGAGCAAATTAAATAGTTTTTGAAGCAAAAGAGAGTTGAAATTATTTGTTATGGTTGGATTAATGCACAAAAAAAAAACCTATAAATTTCATGAGAGTTACAAAAACTTGGCCAATATTATAAAGGCCATAAATTATGAATGAATATATAAAAATAATGTATTGCAAATCAAACAAAAGAAATGATTATAGGGGGATGGGTTTAAATAAAATGATTGAAAAAATCACTAACAATGCACAAGTTGAAAAAGCTGCAGAAATAATTATTGAGACTCATTAAACCGTTTTTAGACTCCTTGTGTTGTTCATGCAATTTATCTTGCATTAAAGAATGTTTGTGCTCCAAAAATATAAAAGGTTAGCATATCACTTATGACAAATGTAATTAAATCTAAGATCACCTATAAAGAATGTGATTAGATATAAGATAATACAAGAGATAAGAACTTTAGAAAGATCTTTATTAATCATTCCATGAGATTGACAATTTTTAATGAATTTGTTAAGTTAAAATTGTTAGTTATAACATAGACTTGTTTGAATCGACAATCATTATAATTAACAATTCATGATAATTAAACAAGGTTTACAAAAATGGTTATTTCTTAAAAGTGGAACATGTTTCAAAAAGATTTTGTAAATAAGACCAACTTTTGTGAATGAGAAGATATTGGATGTGATGGGATATAATATATTAAATTATTTTTCTTTACAAAGCCAATATATGACATGATAAGAGTAGCTAGTATGAATGAAATGTGGGATTCTATGATAAAAAAGATATAAAGGATCATATGCTGAAATGAAGAAAATGGAGGCAAAGAGGGCTCCATCTTTTTTAAGGTGTGTGACATTCTTGTGCAAAGATGGAGTAAAAACAACTCTCTCTTTCATTGCTTAGCTACTCTCTTAACCAAAGATAACATCATAATTTTTCATTAATCTTAGCATAGCCTATTTCACAATTATTAATCTTACTTATTTGATGTATTATTTTATAAGGTATTATAGCCATGTTTGGCTAATTGTAGTTTCAAATCATGTTGCAAGACAAAGATGTGGAGATATCAAATGAGAGGAACAAATGATTGAAGAGAAATTTTCCAAATATTGAAGATGAATCAATATCTAATTTAGTTTACCTTTTTGAATTTAGTGGTGCTTTTTTTATGATGACTCTATAGCTTCTACAGGCGCTATGGATGTTTTATGGTGTTGGTTCCCCACAACTATAAAGTCTGGCATTTTAATTATTAGCTCAATCGTTTCTATTTATTGTTGCAAAAGAAATTGCAGTACATACCCTTTAATTAATTCACTTAAGAGGAACTATGTCACTCCTTAACAGGTGATGATTTAGCATTTGTGCATACTAATCATTGTATTTTATATCTAAAGGGAGCCAAGAATATACTCAAATAAATACTAAATTGTGGAACAATGCTGGAAATACTTTAGCTCAATGGATAGCATTAGAATATTTTAATCTGATAATCTCACTCTTTGTATGCCATCTTTGAAAATTACATTTTTCTTTTATAGATTGTGTCATTGAGGAGATACAAGTGCTAGTGTTGGTAATGATCGCACCATTGAGTGTCTAAATTCCAATCAACTACGCTCATCTAGTAACATTTTATTTTTTTT